AATTCTGTTTCTGAATCAACATCATCATCAACAACAACAGCGTCAGTATTATTAACACTTATGCAATGTTCAATTGTTTTCATGAGATGATTCGGCTGATTAATAAGAGCCTCACTTCAGAACATTGAACGTTGGCCTTATCGCTTGCCAGAATGTAACCCGTAGAAAGAATAAACAGACAGTCGTACCATTCTTACGGTTGGATTAGGATTAAATCTTCCGCGTTGTCGAAGTTTTGAAAACAAATGTTCCACTGAATCTTGATTACATAAACCTGTTGCAAGTTCAAACTTATCATATTTACGTGAAAGTATCTTATACAAAGTAAGAATAGCTTGTGTTGTAATCACGAAACCTTTGAAGCATGGAACTTGAAATATTTTATTCGGAAATTTTGACCATCCTGAACACCACTGCACAAAATTAGTCAAAAGTATTTCAATATCAAGATTTTTTGGGGATAATGGCCGTTTTCCCACCAAATTTAACTTTAAGGCTATAAGAATTGCAAGCATCTATTACGTTATTCATATATTCAGCAAAATCAGCCGTAGCTTTCCATGTATTAGAATCTAATTCTTTTTCGTCACCGGCTATTTTAATTGCAGCTGCGAATTTATTACTAAATAATTGAAACGCTCTTTTCACATTCATTGCTTCAAAACTATTTGGACGAATGTGTGCCTCTGTTATGTGGGATAATAAATTTGAGCCTCCTTTTGTAGCATTATTGATACACGTTTTAATAAAATCTGAATATGATGCAATTATTTCCCCGTTGCAATATATCTTATCATGTGTTCTAAGGAAACTAGCTAATCTTTTAACTAAGTGCGGGAAGTCGAAGGAAGCATAATAGTTTTTATTTTTATATATAAAAAATGGTGTTTGTACTTCAACACCGAGTTGACTAAACGCAGCTTGATTGTGTACACCTTCATCACATGTCATCACGAGTTGCACATCAGTACCTGTTTCATTTAATTTGTCTAAACATATCTTCACTAATTCAACTATTTCCTTTGATTTTAAAGCATTTCAACAAGGAAATACGCTAAAGGTTGTCGCCACGGATGATGTGCATTAAAACTATCAAGGCAAAGCACAAATACGCACTTAGCTCTTTCGTTTCTTCTACCTAGAGGTCCTAGATCGACAAGACCTTCTATTTCATCTAATTTTAAAGAATATTCCTCATAACTTTATATATACATTTCATCCCATTTTAAGGCATACACTCGTTCTTCCTGAGGTATTTGCGATATTTTTTCTTTTAATTTTTTAAATAAAAATCGCAAAATCCCGGTTTTATATCATACTCTTCTAACCATCTTCTAACTGTTCGCTGTCCGGGAAAATTGCAACCTGCTTTCTTTAAGCGACAAAATGCTGACGCTGAATAATAATATAATTGTTTAGAAAGCATTTTTTCTTCCTCTTGTAACGGCCGAACTCCGCGGTTCGGTCGTAGCTACGCGTTTCGCGCGGATAATGCTCGTCGGAGTCCGGGTTCGAGGAGGAGTAAAGCAGCGAGATACTTGAAAATGGCAATAGAAATAACTTAGCTTTATTCTATGCTTACTGAGATACAAGAGTTCGGTCCCGAAGGCGTTATCGCGGGCCGCGTCTATTAGGCGCGTCAGTACGATACGGTGCGGTGCGGTGAGCGGTACAAGCGCGCGTACGGACGGATAGGTCGCGCGGAAGGCGGGGCCTATTACGCGACGCGTGTAGATGGTAACGACGGTAACGGCGCGGTGATCGGTCTCGCTTCGCGACGCTGGGCGTCTCGGACAATTATCGCCCAATACTCGTCTCGCAATCGCTCGCGTATAGATGGTCACCGGACCGGAGATTTCGACTCTCGGACGAACGCACGCACGCAAGTTGCGGAATACGCGAAATGATTTCGTCCGTCGGGGCCGAAGACTCTCGACAGAGAAGGCGTACGCATCTTCCCTTTTCCCTACGTTCGCGGAGGAAAGCGACCAAGTGCTGCGGACACTCAGTGGAGACGGCGGACACACCGTCCCGGGTTCTTGGTCGCTAGACGGATCGCCTAAAGGCTGAATACGCTCAGCGGAGTTCGCCGACAGACGAACCCCTGACTCAAGGCGGCGGGTAAAGGCGAGAGACTGTCGAGTACGCTCGACTGAGCACGCGCACGCACGAGCTCAGGAAGACGGGAGACGGCCAAGTATCGAGTACGCTCGATCGAGACTGCGGACGCACAATCCCGTTTGCTTAGTCGCCGGTCGGGTAGTCGGAATACGGAAAGCAGAGCGAAACGGTCCGGATATTCTCTCTTTTGGCATACAAGCGTCTAGATCGAATCGGCGGTACGGATCGGCCTGGTGTCTAGAAGCTCGATCGCCGCCGTTTTATAGTTGATCGCGCTACAATTGATACGGCGGCGATCGAGCGGCGCGCCTATCGGCGCGAGGCACGACGACGGCGCGTGATCGCGGCCGCGAGCGCTAGCGGCAGCGCGCGATAGCGGCGGCGCGAGATAGCGGCGGCGTGATCGTTTCGATAGCTTAAGGTGGCGCAAAGCACCGTTCTTCGGCCCGACAGGTGGTCGGTCGGGCCGGTAGTAACGAGGTGCATGTGCGCCTCGTTACACTCTGTATATTGTGTGCGCGGAATATGCAGTTGCAAATGTATCATACTTTTTGCAACAGGATTAAGTTTTTGTTTATTTATCAAATTCTTTAATATTTGTTTTTCCGACTTTTGACTTTTACATTTCTCACGCGCTTGTGTCATATATCGCAACTGATAATTTAAACGTTTAATTTTTTTTCGTAAATTAAGATTTTCTATTCTTAAAGCCTTGATAATTAAATCTGGATTGTTATCTGGATTTTCTTTACTTTGCATACATTTTTCCTTACGTTTCACATTCTCACGTGTGTGTGGTTCTGGTTCCAAATGCATCCATTCCATGACATCTTCCTCTTCTGCAGTAATGTCGAAAAGTACAGTTCCAGATCCATATGTTCGTACTGCAGACTGTTGAAGTTCTTCTTTTTCTAATATAATATTTTGGTGATTGGATAAAGATAATTCTGCAACGTCCCTTTGTACCTCTCTTATTTCTATATTATCTTTATGTGCAGAAGAGGCATCTTTGTCGTACGGAATTGGTACGGCATCTCTACGCAATTTTATTTTTTGTGAGTTTTTAAAGGACATCACAACAAAATGATCTTCGCACAATCCCGCAGCTCGAAGGGTATTCGGAGACCATGTCTCCAACTTAGTATTTCCTGTAACAAAAAATAAAAAAACAAGCGATTACGCGTTTATTTCTGACTTCCGTAGCAAGAGATTTGTATATGTATTCCAATAGAATAATTGTGTATTATACAGTAAGCATCATGAAATGAAAAATTTTATGATGGTTGCACTAAGATATTTGGCATCAACTCATGGTTTCGTCTGAATATAATTTGAAAATAATATTTGTTCTAAATATCATATTACACATTTCCAATTTAGGATTTTTTGTTTTTCTTTGGATATCATTATATCAATTATTTTTATATTTAATAATTAATAATAAAGCATTTAATATTTAATAATGAAATCATAACTGTCAGTTTTTCATACTACAAAGCAACAATCACATTTTTCAATATTTAGAGCATTTTCAGACAAAAAAATTGCAATTGGGAAATTATGAAATAACTTTAATAAAATAAGAAAAAGAATTATAGGTGAATGTTATATAAATATTTCAATAATCTTTGTATTTATTAACGTTTTATTACATTATTTTTAAAAACCAACTTAATTTTTTACTGAAAAATTATAAGCACTGTACAGGGTGTCCCAAAATTAAATGTCAAAACTTCAAAAGCGTGTAGAGGATCGATAAAGTAAGAAAAAAGTCCTTTACAAATTTGCTCGTTTTAGCTTCCTTGTGAAGAAATCACAAAAAAACAAAAAAAGTGTTTATTTAATATTTACACTTATTTTTTTATTAATTTGTTTACACTTATTTATTGCTTTACTTAATAAATAGATTGTTCAAAATGTTGACCTTTTGCAGCAATGCAAACATTGCATCTATTACTGGCAGCTTGTATTGCAGCCAAACACTAATCTTATGATATTTGATGCACAGCAGCCACGATTCGATTTCTTAGCTTAGCCCCCCACACAAAGAAATCCATAGATGTTAGATCGAGTAATTGTGATGGCCAAGATATAAAACCTCAACGTTCAATCCATTGTCAAATAAGTTTTATCTGAAATAAAATTTCAGTGAAATCTTGCTTCCACTGATGAGGAATAATAAAATATAAATGGAACAAAAGAAAGAGATTTGTGTGCAGTGACACAGTCAGTATTTGCAAACTGCATCAATAACATGAATAATCGCTGTTATTCACTGATTCTTTTAGCGAAATTTTTTGCAGTGCTATATTTAGAACAAAAACTTCTATTACAATTATAATGTTTTAATAAAGAATGCACTGATTATATTTTAAAGAGTATCGCGCGGATTGTGAGAATTTTGTGGTACTGAGATTTAGAATGCAACGTTGTTAAAATAATATGTAATATTAGAATGATAATAAGCCGAACAGTTGCAATTACAAAGTATCAAACTTTTTTACCATTTCAAAATTGAAACAGCAAAAAACAGTGAAATATTCCTTTTACTGATACAATAAAAAACATTTTTACTGATTCACTTTAAGAGAATACATATACGAATCTGCCTTTCTTTAAAAAAAAGGACGTTAATATATGAAACAGTAAGATCCCTGCGAGGAATGATTCGTCGATCGACATCGAAAGCCACATAACACAAGATCTCCAAGGAATATGCTAGAGACTTTACGAAGTTTGGAAGACGTTTGGAAGTCTTCAGATTTCTTTCGGACGTTCTTAGGACGTAAAATATCTTCTAGACGTCTTTCGGACGTTCTTGTGATCGCGTGCTGTCTAGGAACGACGTCAGTTAGATGGTTGCTCGTATCAATTATCAATGATATATGGCCTTTCATTACATTCTCTAAGTTTCAATTGTTAATTTAACGATTCCTTTCACAAGACAAATATTAACATGTTGATTTGAAACATAATGCGAAAAGCTCGAAAATAAATGCGAAGCAGAAAAGAGATTAACAATGAATGATTATTATTTAATATGCAACTTACAGTTAAATGGACGTCAATTCGACAAGTCATTCTTCGCTGAGATAAAGACCTGTATTGTATATCCATTGATGATATCTTGCGTCGTTTTGCATGGGAAACCTGAATAGGCGCTTTCCATTACATTTCCCATTACTGCAATTTTTGTACACACAGGTATTTGAATAGCGAACTGCACGGAACTGATTTGACATTGTATATTAATTTAGAATATATACAGTGTTATACACTGTATGAAAAAAAAATATGAAAAAAAAGAAATCACAACACGTGACAAGAAAAAGAAAAAAAAGAAGAAGAATAGACGCGATTCAACACACGCGTAAGCACACGCGATGTTTATATATAATCGCGTTAAGGAAAAGAAATATGAAAAAAATAAGTGTTGTGAAATCTCGTTGACTCGCTAAGATAAGAAACACTGAAAATCCGCACAAGAACGAGAATCGTTAGAATACGGATTACGAAGTGCAGTCGTAAAGCTCGCCGCGAGTACTGATGACTGTCGCCGATAGATTGCCACGCCGCTCGTGTCAGAATACCTCTCCGAGGGGAGAGAACGTTGAGCGTTGCGCTTCTGTTGTTTCAAAGCCAGCAGATAATCACGATTGAACACTCGTAAAGTCAACCGAATTTTAACCATCTCGTAGAAACAAGTGCTTCAACTCATCAATATATTGTATCATCAATAAATGTAGAGGAAAGTAACCGAAACAGCCAAAAACCTCCTACAGAAAGGAAGAGATTTGAGCAGAAATTCATATTCAGTAGCTTCGAGACATTAAGTCAATTAGACATTCCATGTTAATGTAAGTTACATATTAAATAATAATCACTCATTGTTAATCTCTTCTCTGCTTCGCATTTATTTTCGAGCTTTTTGCATTATGTTTCAAATCAGCATGTTAATCTTTGACTTGTGAAAGGAATTGTTCAATTAACAATTGAAACTTAGAGAATGTAATGAAAGGCCATATATCATTGATAATTGATATGAGCAATTTCAATATGTTCAATCGAAGAGCGTTCCATTGTGTAGGTTACAATTGGTTATATAGATAATATTTATAATCGTAACATCATGAAAGATGCCGATGATTCAAACACGCTAAGATTTAGTTTCATAATTAATTTTAACCGGAGTTTAAGACTTATTGAGACAAACTTGCATAGTCGTATTGTTCATATGCATAACTGAAGTAGAACAAATAATTATATAAAAGTGAAGATGATGTCAAAATTAAGTCAAAATAATTTTGACGTTATCTTGACCTTTGATGATTATTTGTTCTAGAGAAGGAAACAGATTAATTAAATGTAAAGTATGTCTAATATAAAAGGCACGCCTGTACGGATTATGATTGGTTGATTTCCTTGTGCATATCAATGATGCGATTATGTAATTTTGTTTAGATAGGCTTTTAAAGAGTTGTCTTATTCAACCCGACAAAAAATACGTATATTTCGTTAATTTTTTTGCGGAAGCGAAAAAAATCACATGATTAAAAGATTACGGGTTTTGAGAGTTTGCTTAATGATGTTTAAAGAATATATATGCATTTTTCTACAAGTATGTAAGGTTAAAAATATATAAAATATTGCAGTAAAAGCAAAGAGGTTGCAAATAGACGATTCCAAGGAATTTCTAAATGTGTGTGATTTAATTTTTCACAATTATTTTAAGTAGCTTTTTATTTTCTATAAGTATAGCTATCGTCTGAACTACAATCGGAACACAAATAATAAAATGGTAGCATTTAGAACAAAAATCGTCTATTTCTGGCCTCTCGGTAAAGTTTAATAAAAAATATTAATTATTAATGAATTTGGTTAATTGTAGTTAAAACGGTAAAGAGAAGTCTATTTTATAATGCTGCCAAGTTGCAAGTCGATTGGTCAAATAGTTATTGAGATATCGTGCGCACCGTGGAACCTCCTTGCTTTCACTGCAATATTTTTCATATTTTTAATCTTATATGTAGAAATTTATATACATTCTTTACAAACATCACATTAAACAAACCCTCAAAACAAAAATCCTGTAATCTTAAAGAAACAGGATATTAATCTAAAAAATAGAAACGATCAGAAATAACCGCTCGGTACTTCTAATATTAACGAATTATATTCCGGTTAAAATAATATAAATCGTATAATATATTCTGGTTAATATAATATAAGTCGTATAATATATTCCGGTTAATATAATATAAGTCGTGAAACTGGACCTAAGTAAGACTTACGTTTAAGCGAATGTTCTCTTGAAACTGAAAACATTAATAATAATAATAATGATAATTATATTTCTATTTATCTTTTTTTCTATACTATCTAACTATCTATCTATCTGTTTCTCTATATCTATCTATCCATCTATCTATTTATCTATCTATCTATCTATCTGTCTATCTATTTATCCATCTATATCTATCTCTATATCTATCTATCTGTCTATCTATCTATTTATCCATCTATCTTTTTTCTTCCTATGTATCATTGCAACCTATCCTGTTCTATCCATATTTCTTGCAAATGCAAACAATTAATATTACATTAATTTTTATATTAAAATATATTTTTTATACTATAACATGCTGAATTAATAATTAATAAAATTCAACAGGTTATACTATAAAAACAAACACTTACGTAAAAAAATTGTTATGTTATTAAAAAGTTTACATTTATTTTTTGACGGAGATCACCATTTTCTCGCGGTTTCTGTTGAGCAACAATATGCACGTTATCTATTCGTAAAATTAAATAAAGTCGTAATTGAAATATGATAATAAAACTAATTTCTTTTTTTACTAGACTAAATTAATTTTTGCTACGAAAAGAAAAATGTAACAATGGAATATCTTTTACAAAACAAATAACATTTCATTTAATTTTTAATTTAAATTTATTAGCATAAATAAATTATTCTGTCATATATTTATTTTAATAACAAATCATTTTTAAAAGATGTATATATTGGCTAAGAGTGGATTTCTATTAACTTTTCGTCTCTCGTTATAATTCTCTCTTCTTTATTTGTGCATTAATACTAAATATTCTTTATATACATATACACTATATATGTGTCATTTATTTATATATATATTGTCATGTAATTAATATATTTAATCAAGCCGTAAGAACACGAGAAGAGAGGAAGAGCGAGCAAGTGCGCGAGAGAGAGAAAGAACGAGCGAGAGAGAGAAAGAGCGAGGTATAGGAGTAGCGAGAAAAATCTCGCGGCTCACGCAGTCAATAAGCTAGACGAGCGGGAAAGAAACAGATAATATGTCGACGCTCGTCTAGTCTCCCATGTGCTACCTCGCGTGCGTGAAAAATAATTCCTCGCTTCGCACGTTCCCTTGACACGAGACGCTACCGCGTCTTTTGATGTCTCTGGAGCGTGAAAGATGAAAGAAAAGCGGAGAGATGTTCGCTTAGCGATAAGATCGCCGCTACCTCGCCTCGTGTTTACTGCCGCGCGCTGCTCAGTAGTGAGACAAAGACGGAACGATTGTCTGTCGTCTGTCTTTTTCTAACCTACTATCCATTGCATGGAAGTAGTACGGACACAATCCTAGGCGCATTTTACTTTTATCACCGCGAAAGTGCCCCTAGCGGACGTAGTTTAGGCGCATTTTGGTCAGATGGCGTATCTAAAATGCGCCTAGCCGTACCCCCGAAATACGGCCGGTGGCCGCTCTCATTCTTCTCTCTGCTTATAGCTCGCTCGCTCCTCGTCGTTCGTGCTCGCTCGCTCCTCGTCGCGCGCGCTCGCCTCTTGTCGTTTACGTTGCCCCTCGCCGCGCGCGCTCGCCTATCGACACTCGCTGACTCCGCCTGTATCAAATGTCTACGTGCTTACTGCGGTCGCCCTCCGCTCTCTACGCGCTCGTTGGCTCACATGTTTAAATTAATAACTCGATAACTATTGGCAATTTGATATTATGGTACATGACTTTTCTTCTCGGCTACACCCAATCTATCTCCAACTTTCGTCTGCATGATCAGCTATCAAACACCCTGTATAATCCGAACTCTTAGCCCTGGTTCATAATCTTGTTTTAAGCTTAGGTAACAGCTTAGGTGAGAAGTTAAAAAGATGTGTATAAAACTATTTCACGATTTGGCAATAACTTCAGAAAAAAATAAAATTTATGCTGCGAATTTGTGTACACTACCCACGTTCTTCGGCACCTGCGACTTGCTTCTGACATTTAATCACTTTTAGATTCTATAATGTATAAAGCAACTTATATCGCATTTTTATCAAGATTCGCGGAAAAAAGTTTTGCGTATATTATATATCGTAAGAAATTGAAAAAGAAAACGTTACTACAAGTAATCCATAAACTATGACTTACTGTTATTTGTAAGCCATTTTATTACAACTATCTGTCTCCGTTACTAAAAGTATGTACTCAAATTGTGCTGACCACTGACCATCTGATGTAACAGTGGTCACATTTTTGGATTATATTTGGTCCTTCCACGTTTCTTGGGATATCATTGGCTCAATCGTGAAACAGAGTCCATATTTCATTTGCTTGTTTTTTCCTAAAAAATTGGTTACTATTTAATATTTATTATTTATTTATCTATTTATTTGTAAATGTGGGTTACCTTTTTATCAATGTGAAAAATAGTGAAGAATATTATAATTGATTAAATTGTCAAAGCTGTTAGATATACAATTAAATATATAATTTGATTTCTCTTAATTACTGTTAAGTCGTTTCTTACAATTTCTTACAATTCTTACAATAGAGAAAATGTAATTTCCTATTTAAAATATCTCAAGGAAAGTATTTACTGGCGTAAGTACTTACTAATACATTCGTCGTAGTGTGCAACAATAAATTCCATGGTTACAATAGTTGCACACCACAATAAATCCATGCGTCATTTCTATTAACTTCCTCAATTCGGGTTTCACGTTATTAAAAAAGTCTCATTCAGAGTTCCATGAAAACCATTGTGCTATCCCGTAATCACCTCCCATCTCTGTTCCCTTTTTGCTTCCTTTTCCAATTGTTCTTTTT